GGGGAGGTTGGGAGGAGACACGTCCAGGACAGGTGACCCAAACTGACCAAAGGATGTCCCAGACCATATGACATCATGCTCAGTATATGAAGTAGGGGGAAGAACGGAGGAAGAGGGGGATGTTTGGAGTGACACTGTTTGTCTTCCCAAGTCACCGTTAGATGTGATGGGTCCCTGCTCTCCTGGGGAGGGCTGAACACCTGCCTGCCCATGGGAAGTGGTGAATTCATTCCTTGTTTTGCTTTGCTGGTGAGTACCGCTTTTGCTTCCCCTATTTAAACTGCCTTTATCTCAACCCACGAGTTCTGTAGCTTGTACCCTTCCCATCCTCTCCCCACTCCTGCTGGTGGGGGAGTGAGGGAGCGGCTGTTGTGGCTGGTGTGAAACCACAACATTAGGAGAAACTTTATGATACCTACATGGCCAGTGCTATTTGCTTTAATGTAAAAACACCTGAGTATTTATAACTTACCACAAAGTTCCAGCACAATGGTTGGAAGCAGTTAGGCTGACTCCCAAATCAGTTAGTTGAGTTAGTTATTAAATAAATTACTATGGGGTGAAATCAAGATACAGACTAAAATAAACATTTGCTGTGAGAATTGATAACTTAGATGCAGTTAATTGAAATTATTTATTTGGTTTAAAAAAAATTTCTCTGCTCTAAGGAGTCAAATCTTGAAATGTTTGTCAAAGATGAAATATTATGTGCCAATCAGTTTGTGCTGATGGCACAGTTTGAGACAATGAAAAATCCCTGAAATCATTGTAAATATTAATTTGAACAGTCTTAGCCCATTGTGTGCTTTTATTATGGAAGGACTTGTAATTATAGTGGTATGAATAGGTCTTAATTTTCTGTGCCTCAGAGTGATTGCTGTGCTGGTGTTCTAGTGGAAGGAGTTTTGGAGACTTGCATTCTCTGGCAAAGATAAACTGTTGTTTTGCCAGCCTTGATGCTGATCAATACTGTCAGTGTGGTTCCTCAGCTGGTGGTTGTATGTTTATTGAGATAGCAGTGCTGCTGTCAGTCAGACTGGTCACTTTTCTCATGACAGTCTGTTACAAGCTAGTCTTTTAAACATATTCACCAGTGGACAGAATAGGATATAATTAATTTTCTGGGTAAATTTAGCTTAGTTCCCCAACCACATCCTGTGTTTCATCCTCAAAAATGCATGGCAAATTCTATCAGAAAGATTTACTTCCTTTGAGCCATTACTCTGTTTACAGACATTCCTAATATAATTAATTCAGATTCATAATGCCTGTCACAAATGACAAAAGTAATTAATTCTGAAATTTGGATTATGGGGCTTTATGTGGAGTACTTACCTTCAGGGGATTAAGTCTCAAAAACATTTTGGGTCATCATTTATCGTGTCTGAGTCTAATAGCGTGCCAGGTTTTCTAAGGTTTCAATTATGATGCTTGAATAATGTAGGAAAGAAAGAAAAAGTAATGGTTCCATGTTTATGGTATTAATTTCAGTCAACAGAGAAGGAACACTTTGCACTGGGGGCTACAAACATTCTAACTGCAATATTCCCTGAAGCCTGCACACAAAAATAGGTTTTGTTTTCAAAACAGGGCAAAAGTTGCCCATGCAAACAGGCAATTAAAGAAACCAATATGACTTGCGTGCTGAAATACAAGAAGTGCACACCAACAAGTTGGTTTCCCCCCTCCCCTCTAATTTTGTCAGAATGTTTCTAAAACCTTTTTACATATGCAGCATGTGTGCTCTTCAGGTACTAAGTTTACAGTAATGCTTGAAAATGTGGCCAAAAAGATGAAGTCTTTCATAAGCAAAAATATGAAGCTATAATTTAAACTACTTGCTTCAGACACCTGCAGTCTGCTGCTAAGCACAGGTCAGAACAAAACAAAAAGCTATGATGGTGTTCAGTAATTTTCCCTCTCACACTTAAGTTTCCCAGTCTTAGAAGCAGAACTGGTGTTTTCTCCCTGTTTGTGCTTCTATCTGGTGTTCAATTCACCTTGTTTGGTGATAGTGCATCCACTCCAAGGGTGATAACATCACAGGGAGTGGCTTAACACACTTCATTCTTTTAATTGGGAACTCCAACTGTTGTTCAGGTGTGCTGCAAAATGACTGCAGCCCTCATCTGCTGTGCAAAGAGTGGCAGATGCTTCATCTCCTTCCTCATGTCTGGCTTCAGAAGCAGCTCCATACTTTAATCTTTTCTAAGCAAATTTTCTTAGAGGCAACTCTAAGATGTATATTTTCAAGCACCAAAGTGGTAAACTATGTGTGTGTGTTGGTTTTGTGCATTTTTTTTTTCTTCTAGAAGATGTCTATATAATATGTAATATTTGAGATCTGGATCCAGAAACTCTTAAGAGATTGTAAGATTCTTGTAGCTCTAAGAACTATGCTACTAGAATGGCAGAAAACTTCTCAAAAACCCAGAGACAGTATCTCTGGATTTAAGGCAAAGATATTTATCTTGTAAGCTAGGAAAGCTTAGTGTTATATGATGAACTCACAGTCTAACTGTAAGTTTGAATAATTCAGTGCCATTTGTTTTTTCTTATGCTTTTCCTTTCCTTTTTACTCTAGAGCTTCTCCACATTACAAATTTCTGTGTTTATTTATTAATAAGAGTTGGTTTCAAATTCTGATGGATTGTAAAACCTGATTTATGTCTATGAAACAACCATTTAATATATGAACATTCAAAAGTTACACTGAATCAAACATGGTTGCATAAGGGTGGAAACTTTGTGTTCTACTGCCTGAATTGGCAACATTAACCTGCTAATGACACTTTTTCTATTTTTACCATTTCTCGTACTATTATTAGTAATAGTTGTCATCATTATGCTGAATTAATTGCTGGCTGTAGGTGAATAAGAAACTGCAGTTTTCAGTTTATGAACGAATGATCACTTGTGAAGTAAATTGTCAGTGTGCAGCTTCTAAATCTTTCAAAGAAGCCAAATTTTGAAAATGCCTGGCTTTGGGTACTGTCTTTAGAGTTTTAAATCTTGCATGTCTGGAACGTTTGGTGTTTAGGGAAACATTTTTTAATGAAGATGACAGGAAAACTCCAAACTAATATTTTGGAAATGGTTATGTGAATTTGTTCAGTGATATGCTTGAGGAAGTCTGTGATTGCTCATCCTTCTGAACAGAATGTGCCAAAGTCTCATTTGTTGTATCAAACTGCAGCACAGTTTATGCACTCCAGATCACAAATACTCTCATGTGACAAACAGAGTATTGAAGTCAGAATGTACTTTACAACCAGAAAAGAAAGGAGCTTTATTTTAAAGATAACATAGTAAATGAAGGGAAAGTTTGCAGACACTAAGGAATGGTTTCCAGGTCTGCAGTAAATTAAGTGGACAAAGGGGAGTTTATCATGAGTGGGTATGATGAGATACTGTCTCTCTGGAGTATTGAAAAAGAGAAAAAAAATCAATGAAAGCACATTAGAGACCATGAGCTACCATTTTGCTGTCCAGGGATATGAGGTATATGACCCAGAAGGCCCTTTCTTTTCCTGAAATGTATGATTCTGTCCTTCAGTAAATAAACCCATTTTTCTTATGTTTCTCTAACTTTGCTCTTGTGTTTTCTTTTCTGGCGCAGGAGTTTCACAACTGTTTTGGTTAAAAGGAAGCAGAGTTAGTGCGAGAAAAATTAACACTTTATTTATTTATTTTTAAATGGTCAGATGAGACTTTTTGTGTGAGTTCCACAGTAAATGCTCAGTCTAAAACTCAAAAAAGTTGTGAACAATGAGATCTCACTGTGGAGCTTACTTTAGAGTTAAACCCAGACAGCTTCACGTGCAGGAACCCACAGAATAATTATATGCTGCTGATCACTGAGAGAATTTGCATTGGTTAAATGCTTTCCTTCAGGCAAAAACTTGCTCCAGGCAAACTTACCTTTTTCTGAAGAACAGTTATACCCAGGGTACATATGTCAAGATGAGTAACTTTGGTCTGGGCAATTCCAAGATGAGAAATTTAGTCTGACAAAGCAAGGACAAACACCAAAGCTAAGGCTTTTGCAAGGGATTGCCCACGTGCTGCTTCTAAGTCTTTCTGTACAGGGGAAATAAAAACATAGTGCTAGAAAATACTCTGACCTCGTATCACTGTTTTCTTTTCAGTGAACCAGTGGACTGATGCAAGGCCCTGCACCACAGTGAAGGTGCATCACCAGCCATCACCATCCTCAGCAGTTATGAGCTGATACAAAAGGCACAAGAGGATCGTGAATCTGCGCCTAAAGGCAAGTATCAAGTCACTTATACTTTGGAGTATGTGAGAACATACCTGAGTATACATTAGGTATTTTACCTTTCTTGGGGGGTATATAAATTGATTGTGGCCCTATAAGTTGGATTTTCTCTTTTTCTTTGGCCCAGTTGATGTGCCTATAGTAACTGATTCTCTTCTTTTAGTAATTCTAATGCTGTTCTAACAGGTTGCCATGTGAATGGAGGGTTGCTTTCTAATGGAGTGAGTGGAAAAGCAAAAATTGCAATGCCATTCCCTTTCCTACTGTATATATGCTTGCCTGTGCTGAGCTAAGCACAGCCCATCCCATGGAGTCATGGGGTAAAGTGAAAAATGACAGGCAGAAATCACTACTTTGACAGCCCCACAGCGAGTGTAGGGAACATATGACTCACTGCAGCTCTTTGAGTTCAGTGAGTCAAATCCAGGAGCAGATGGCCTTTTTGTTTAGCTCTATGGGTGAAATGGAGAAACAGTCCATTTATGCTCTGGAGGCTGCCTGGTGTGTTGATAGGAAAAAATATCTGGCATGTGTGCCTCTACAGGACTTTTTCTTCTTTTAAGCAATGTAGAAGGAAAAGCAATAGAAACAAGTGAATGGAATTTATATTTTTATCTTCCTCCACCCCCACTTTGTATTTTAGGGTATCCAGAACTCTTTCTTTGTTAATGTGTCAATTTTTGGTTGCCCTGCTTTATCTACAGCTTAAGTGATGGAGGCTGTTTGTGTTTGACAGCAAGCAGCAGAGGATATACAAGGGGGCAGCTGCAGGCAGTGTATAACAGGAAGTTTTTGGAAGCTTTCCTGGGCAGCCACCATTTCTTCATTGTCTACAGTGGTGGTATTTCTAAGCAGTCTGTGATGCAGGTAAAATACTGGCTGTGAAATGGGTTGTGTACTGCCTGCCTTTTCCTGCCTGGAGAAGCTGCGGCTTGATCCATATGTGCTGGAATCCTCTGTCATTCCTGCCTGCAACACTTCTGTGTGTGGGGAGATTAAGGGGATGAGAGCCCTTAATCTTCATTTATTAAAGTATTCTTTGACCTTCTTTCAGGTGCCAAAAGACATATTTTCTGCTCTTTGGTTTTAAACAAAAAATAGAAACCTTATAAGGGCTGTTGATTGTTGTTGGAACTTGCTGTTTACCTGACTTAGCCCTTAGTCCTAATGATCGTGTCAGTCAATTAGCAATAAGCAAAATACTCTGAGATGCTCCTGTGGATTTGCATTCCAGGATAGAATGGCTTAGTTCTGAATAAGGAAGCCCATTTTAGGTTTTACTCATTCTGAATTGGAAACTTGCTAAGACACGTTGACAGGATGCTCCACCATATGTTATTTTTGTCCTAAAATGCAGATGGCAACCTTTATGTCAAGGAATTCTCTAGTTAAGAAACTATTTCATGGGTTTGACTTTTTATGTTCATGTAAGTACAGATATTTGCAAACCAGATTAAAATCATGACTGTGAAAACTCGAATTTTGTCCAAAATCCAGATATTTTTAAACGTTGTAGAGAAAAAATTAAACTGTAGTGACTGCAAGGAAAGGAAGTAAGAATATGAATGAATTAATGTCTCTTTTCCTGTGCTGCCAAAATGTATGTGATCTTGGATCCTGCATGCATCCCAATGCTGCAGCAACACATATGAGATTGTGTCACCAGTAGGATGCTCAGAAAAGTTGAGGTTTCGGAGTTTCTGACCCTGATTCAGACTGTTTGTAAACAAGACCATACTCCTGAATACACTTAGAACTAACAGAAGTGACAAGACTCATCCATTTGGAAGCAAGACTGGTTTTGTAGGATGGAAGTAAGGGTTATTGGGCATGACTAGAATCAGCTTGAATTGTAGACATGGAGAAGACAGATCTCCATTAGGACTGAGAGAATGACGTGGCCTTAATCCTGAAGCAAACGTGAAAGGGTTTCTGTGGTCAGATCAGGGTTAACTTCCCCTCAGGGCACTTGGTGTGCTGCAGCCTCTCACACTGGCAGATGCATCCACCCTTCGCATGGAGGTTTAATAGTTAAAGCATCATAAGATGTCTGTTCTTAATGTAAAATCCTGTAGAGATGTGAACTGAAGAATTCATCAGCAAACATACTGTATCCTGACTGGGCAGGCTTCTGCACTTGCCTCTGATGGAGCTGGCCAGATGTGCTGTCAGAGACAGGATGCAGAGCAGATCATTTGCACACCTGTTTCAATTTGGTGATTGCTGCAAAAGGACACCAGGATGCAGTGGCAAGTTCTCTGCTGCTTTCCTTCGTGTGTGTTGTAAAACTTCTTCAGGACAAATATAAAACTAAGGTGATGATGCATCATGTGTGATGTTGTTCCATTTTACTTTTGGTAGCTGTTTGAAGAGGAGTAAATGACTTAATAGAATTAGATTCAGGGACAAAAGCATCAGAGATCTTGTCACTCTATTCCTTTCCTTTCACTGGAGTTACAAAAAGTGGTATTCAAATGGGATCTAATTATCCTCATCTATTGTTTGATAAGTTCTGCTGTCTAATTTTTGACAATCTTGTCTCTGCAAGAATGCTTGCTTAATAAAAAAGCAAAATCAGAGATGGAGAAGGCTGTTAACAGTGCTGTTCACACCTTCAGGGTAAGGGGCTGAGATGTTTATGCCAGTTAATTCTTCACTGTGTGTTCAACAGGATGTGAAATAGACATACAGTGCAGTCATCTAAAAGGAAATTATTTTCTCCATTTGCTATTCTGAAAGGAAATGAGTTGGTTTTTCAGTGAATGAGGGATTCATCTGAATTTACATGCAGGGCCCTTTTTTACATAAAGCAAGTAAAATCCTGAATTATTCATGGTTTTCTCATTTTTTTTTTTTTCCAGTGGTTGGTTAACCTGGAAGGAAGGAAACTGGAATTTATTCTACAGGCACTCTCTCTTTATTGCTGTAATGGGAACATTGAGCTGATAATTATAGTTTTACTAATTATACTTACTCATTTGCTTAATCCTCATAAGAAGAACATTATTTAAGTCTGATTTGCTATTTGACACTGTAGCTAAGTTATGAATTGTAAGCAGTAAAGAGGTCAATTCTGTTTGTGTGATCTTTTCCCTGATTTTCTATCAGGTTCCTGGGAGGTTCCTTCTGAAAGAAGGCTCAGTCAATTTTGAATAACTCAAACAGACTACAGACCTTGTGCTTGTACAGTGCAGATATGCACCTTACAGGAAAAAAATGTAGAAGTGTTTTGAGGCCTACTACTGCTTGCATATTGCTAATCTACAGTTGTCTTGTTTTATTGCTTTGTTAGTAAAATCCTTAATGTCTTTCTGTCAAGTTAATTCTCAGTGGTAAATGTAGAGAACTGCTCCATTTTGTTCTGCTTAGAGACAGTTTTCTTTTTTAAATTAAGAAATGGGCTTTTTCATTCTACACAGAGAATATAGAGCCAGACCTAAAATGCTTCTAAAGAAAAAAGACAATCTCTTATTGGTTTAAACAGACCTTGATCAGGCTTTTTGCTCTCAAACCTCAGAATTTGAATACAGTAGCAAAGTATTAATCCCAGTTCTAGATTGTCATTGGATTCCTGTTCTTTTCTTAGTTGAGTTAACTTGTTTTACTCACAAAGGACTGAAAGTTGAACAAAATCCCTTTAATTGCTTAAAGTTTATGTGTACACTTGTGGTTTATTTGAATGTTTTAATGTATGCAAGATCACAGTGGCTGTCAGGGGGTAAGGCAAAGGGAGAATAATTATACAATGTCATGACTAATTGTGTAAAGTTCAGTGAATATTAATAATTCTTAAACATGTAAAACTGAAATACTCAAAGAATTTATGTTCCATAAAAATCACCATTTGTCTGATATTTAAAGGCAGAAAGGGTTCCATTCATGTAACACCATCTATAGAAATCAGGCAGCTGTTATTATGTACTGCCAATGTTATAATATCAAGTCTTTCATTAGTTGTGACCAGAACTGATGCTGATTGTGCAATCAATTAACTCCTGAATGTCTTCTAGGCATAAGAAGTTTCAAAGATGGTAACCACATATCAATTTCTGTGATAAATTTTTAACTCTAAAAGCTTCATTTTGTGTTTGAAAGCAGCCAAAACTTTTTAAAGGCCAGTTCTTTTAGCTGGAGTTAACCTGACCTCCTGACATCATGGGCAGGATCATTTAGAGGAGTGAACTGGCAGGATTATTGAAAGTGATATGAGTGTGCCTCATGAGTCCCTCTGGGACTGCAAGGCCTGAGCTTCTTCAGAATGAGCTTCCTGTGACACTGTCATTACTCTGTTTTCCGCTCCCTGTGGAAAAAATTCTTTATTAGTAAAGGGAATTCTGAAAATAAAAATAGTAATCCATATCTCTGGATTGCTCTGGGTGGACAGTATTAGTAGATGAACATCAATCTGCTCATCTGATGAAAGAAGACAAGTGCATGGTTCATTATTTAATAAAGCACGTAGTATTTGTCAATAACTTTGAGGCTATTTCTCAAGAAGCTTGAATTCATCTATTGAGTTGTATCATATTAGGTAGGCAGACTTCTATTTTCTCACTGAGAAATTTCCCTCCTAAGAAAACTAGCTGAATAACCACTGAGTTGCTTGCTTCCCGCCAGTCATAATTCACATCTTCCCACTTGCTTGGGTATGGCAGTTGTTTAATTGTCTGTTTTACAATGGATTGTATTTATTATGCTTCATATGTTAATCAAAACGCTTCTTGCATTCACACTTGGGAACATTATCCCTTCACTTCTTTCATAAATGATTTATCAACTCTGTTCATAGTTGCATATTCTTTACCGTGTTTCCCAAAAGATTTTTTTCAGAATCCTCTTTTAAGAAGGACCACAGGAAGAAAATGAATGAAGCTTAATATTTGACCAGGAATTTACTCTAAGTCTTTTAAGAAACATTTTGTAGCCACTGGCACATCCTTAGTAGTTCCAGAGGGAAAACAAAGAAGGTAGCCTATCTAAGTCAGTATCTTGTAGTATGCACTGAAAAGTAGAGACTCAAGAAACCAACCCAATTCTTTTCCTAGGGAATCTTCAGAATATGTGACAGCAGTGCTTAGACTTGATAGGACTTTTCTGAACTTTGAGACTTGCATGACCCTCAGAAGCTTTTACCTCTTACTGGCTTATGTGTTTTTGTGTCCTGATTTGTTGCAACTGCTAGTGTAATCCTACGGGAAGTTTATCCTGCTTTATCCTCTACATGGTTGTTGTACAGTTTTTGCTGCTACAAGAAAATACTCCAGTGGTGTCCATGGGTCCTTCTGCATACAGAAAGACTTCTGAGCGTGTGACATAATATAGAACTAAGAAGAAAGTTGCCATTTTCTGAAGATATGTCTTCAGAATTAATGTCATTACTCTAGCATGTACTTTCTACTGGCTTGTATTCCTTCTTGTGGAATAATTTCTCACTTTTTACCAGGAGAAAGCCAAAGCAGTCATTTGTTAAACCTCATAGAAGGGATTGGTGTCAGAGCAATGCTCAAAATTTTGGATGACTTGTCACTCAGACTGACATGTGCCACCTCTCTTCACAGAAATCAGGCTGAGAGTTGTGCTGAGCATGCTGTCAAAATGGCACAGCCTCTGCCTTTTTGATGGCACTGTCCATGATGCTGAGAGCTGGGAAAAGAACTGCAGGTCACTGAGGGAGTGATGTGAGCTCAAAGAGTTCTTTTGGGTATAAATTTGCATTGTGCCTGCACAAGACTTGCTGTATGCACTGAAGTGTAGTGTGTTTTCCTTCCTGCTGGAAGTGTGAGCCTGGGATGGGCAAGTGGCGTGAACTTCATTGTGGGCAAAGGTACAGGGTGGACACGGGGTCCTGGAACCATAATGGAGTGCAGGACATCAATCCCCCAGCCCCCCTTTGCATCTCACTGCTTGATAATACACCCAATGTCCTGGGATTTCTAAAGGGTGGTAATTTCAGAATATAGAATCACATTAAGGTTGGAAAAGACCTCCAAAATCAAGACCAAGTCCAACCTATGTGAACAAAAATATCTTCTTAAAATGAATTGTAGCGGTAACTTTGCTGCATTTAAATGAATACTTCATTTCTGGTTTTTATATTGCAGCTGAGTTACTTTAGGACTTGGAATGCTGCAAGTGTACGTATTTTCTTCCAAGAGCCTGAAGTGAAAGAAACTGGGACTGAGTTTTGAAATAGCTTTGATCCAACAGCCACAGTAATATTCTGTGGGACAAATTAGAACAACAACAAAAAATCCCTTAGCTTTTCAACACTGTGGTGACAATACTAATCAATAGGAAAGGGTATTGAGACACCCCATAGGACAAGCTTTGCTTTTCTAGATTAATGTGCATGGAGCTTTATTCCTTAGGTAGGTCAGTGCATGTACATCGAGTCTCAGACCATGGGACACAGATATGCATCTTTCTTCCGTTCATTTTGATTAAAATACCCTTACAACAAATAGCCAATGCAAGGAAATATTACTTAGCTTTGTCTTGTTTTTCTATATTCCAGTTTCTCCCTGTTTTGTTTTGTGGTTTGTTTTTAATTTTTTTTCCAAATGTCTTCAATATTTTCCACAATCCTGCTGCCTTATGTTCCATTTTGTTGTTCTCACCACCTGTTCTCAGCTCATCTCCATTCAAGTCATCATTTAATCTTGCATGCTCCCTCCTCCCTGGTACTCTTCTCATTTCTTCTGTGGTTTTTCTTTTTCTGTCTCTACTTCTGGTTTAAGTAGAGAGAAATTGATACTTCCTGGATGTGGCTCAGTATGAATTTTAAGTTGATAGCATCCTTTTGAACACCATTCCAGATCTAGATGCACCAGCTTTTTCTCTTGCAGTAGGGATTGTCAGTGCTGCAGAAGCTTTAACAGAAAGTTCACACTCAAACATTATTAAAATAACTCACCTAATGGATCATCTCTCAGGAGAGATGATACTAAAAGTAATGCAGGCAACTAATCTGTGCAAGAAAGGGAAAAGATCCAAGAGAATTAAATTAATAGCATCATTAAAAAAATAAAATTCTGCTTCAGTGCCTTTAATTTGTAAAGAAAGCAGGTTAATGATAATGTAGGCAAAGGGTTAGATATAATTGGTTTATCTTTTAATTAAAACCCTTGCAATGAGTACAAAGCCATAGAAGTATACCAGATCAGAAAAGCTCAAAATATTCATGCTTTGCTTATTCACAGAACAGGAACATCAAGACAGAGAATCTGTTTCTTGTGACCTTGGTGCCCCTTGACACAAGGCTTGTTTCCTCAGTTTGCCCATGAACAAATTCTATCTTTGAAAGGAGAAGCATAATTTCTGAGATACTCTTTAGAGACCTAACTCTTAGACAATTCTGGATTGCTGCCTTTTCATGGCATCCTATTCCATAGCTTCACTTCTGGTGAATTCACTTTATATCTTACTACCAGTCAGAGCTGGTTAGCAAAAGTAAACATAGGAGAACCTAATGATGGTTCATCTTTAAGCCTCTCTTTATGAATATACATGATTTGGGAATTGCTGTGTTAAAGTATGGTTTATTTTATATTTTCAGGATTTAAACTCTGTCTTGAATTTTTATAGCATCCTTGAATAACAGCACATACTTGATGTGTCAGAGATTTGGAATCTTTTCAGAGCAACAATTTCATAAACTGTGGGCTTAAGCTCTTAAAATAATTAAAAAAAAAGGTATTTATGCACAAGGGGCAGAACTTGTGTTTTAGTAGTTACCCTCTTCTAGCATTTTAGAGAGCTCCTGTAGCTTTACTCGTCTCCTGAGCTACATCCAGGAAAGAGAAACAAACAGGTAGCTTGGTATTATATGAACAAATATCAGATGAAGGAAAGATTAAGTCTGCTTCTAATCTTTTATGTTAATCATGCTTTCTCTCAAAGCTGTTGTAAGAGGAAGCTCTTGATGATACTAGTTTGGTTATCAGGTATGCAGCTCTAGTTATTTATGGTTCTCTGAGAGGCATCTGCAGCTACAGCAAGCTTGATGAACAAATGAGCCTTTAAAAAAACATAAATGTTTGTGTCTGTGTGCAGGCACATGGATGGATGGATGGGAAAAATTAGCTAGTAATACTGTATTACCAAATACATTTTTCATCCACAAGACAGAAACCAAAACTTTTTAATAATTCTCCTGTAAATCTCTCCTTTTAGAAATGGACATTGAGACTACAGAGAATAAGGTTAAATGCATAAAGTGGTACCCTATTAAATCAAAGCATCTGCTGTACTTGAAAAACAAGTTACTCTAAAATTGAATAACATTCTAAAAAAAAAAAAAAGTCAAATATTTTCACTCTACTACATGTAACAATCCATGCAGAAAGGTTCCTGTTATTGTTTTCAGTATTTCAAAGGGGCTTTTAGGCATCTAAATGTGTATCTTCTGCTTTTAGTTGTATTTAGGAATTGGTGGAAAGAAGTGTGTGTTTATATAGTGTGGTGGCACCAAGGAATTGGGATTTCGCATGTGAGTGCTTGGCTGAATCAAATCTTTTAAAGTAGATTATCCTTTCTAAAATGTTAGCAAATGTTAGCTTTGTGCTGATGAAAGCTAGATGTTTGATTAACAGCTTTTTAAGAACATAAACTGTTAACACTTTTCTATTGCTTTCTTACGGTATAGAGTCAGTATGAACATATTATAACTGCAGCACAAGAGCAGAGATTAAATTTTTTATTGATGCATTTGTTTTTAGGTACTTGGAAGATGATCTGTCTCCATTCAATAAAACTGACTATTATTGTGGAGGAAAAATAAACATCCACAAGTATTTAGGCAGGTATGAGTACGATTGCTTACATATTGTAGATGTAGAGCAGCTGGTCCAAGTGTCCTCTTGCACTTCACCTGTCCTGAAAATAGCTTTTCCCATTCTCACAGTGCATCAGCATCTGCAATATCCAGTTCATGCTTTCCATCTCTTCTGCTTCTTTTTCTGAGCATTCAAGTACATTAAATATGAGTAGCTTAACTTCACATTTTTTTTCCTGGCTGCTAGGAGGCAGACCTGGGAGTTGGAACTTCTATACAAACATCTATTCATAAACTCTTGGGAAATTAGTCTATTATAAAAGCTTTTGTTACTGATGTGACATAGTTTAATGTTTCTTTTGAATATTTTAAGAAGTATTTCTGCATTAGAGATGCATTGGAGTAACATTGATAAGTCTGTATGTAGTCAATCAGCTAATAGAATATGTTCTAATTCTTATCAAATACTCAGATTTTATTGCAGAATAAAAATGTCTTAATGATGTAGTTTGTCTATACCTACTGTGTCTGTGACAAAATTTACAAATCTTTAGAAGTTGTTTAGATGAGAATATTCTTCTGAGATGTAAAGGAACTGCCTATACTGAAAGCTAAGCAGTTTCCTATTATTTGAAATACCTTTTTTCTACTGTGCAGAAGTTCAAAGGTGTTTATACTGACAGAGCAGTTATTTGAGATGAGCCTGTCTCCTGAAATTTTTGGTATCTTTCCCTTTCCTACAGAAATGGAAGTTTTCTTCCCTTTCACATTACACCTACCAACCTGCAGGCATGTGGTCTCTACGTGATGTGTTTCTCAAGCAGTGTAGTCAATGTTGTCTGTCCCAAAGGGTGTGTGAAGGGAGGGCAGTGAGGGCAATCTAAAACTTGTGCAGAGTCGGGAAAAACAGTGTAACAATTCCTATAGATCCCTTCCCCTCCATTTTCCCTTCCCCTGCCTCTGCAATGCACACTGGGACACTTCACCACTAAGAAATGTTGGCTGTTCACAGCTGAGTTTCCTGGTACACCGGGGCTGTTTCCTTTTTCCAAACCCACACGGTTTTAGGAACTTGCTCTGCTTTTCAGGCAGGCAGTGAGGACAGTCTCAATGGACAGTGACATTCAGGCTTTTTAGTGCCCTGTCCCATAAAGGTACCAGGGTTAGCTCAGAGCTGTCCTTTATGCTCATAGCAGTCATGGTCTCAGTACTTGAACAAACAACTCTAAAGAGAAGTTCCTTTGGCTGTTGTGGTCATTGGCTCTTCTGCTTCCAAAATCTGGACTAGTATTTTGGAGACATACCAGAGAATTTGGGGACTTTGACAGCTGGGTTTGAGTGATTTAGTAGGAGCAATTAGGAGTTCTGCTGTCACCCTTATGTATTCCTGTCCTTGCCAGAAGTTCCTGCCCCAGAGAGGAGTTGTGTGCCAGCACTTCTGCCACTCTCATTCACAGAGTAGCATTTCAGCTGAAGTTAAGTTGGTGTGAATGTGCAGGGAACTATTGTGGTCTTGTGGGTCAATAAGGAATAAGAGAGAGAACGTAAAGTGGAAGAAAAAAGGATTGGAGCAGGACAGAAAATGGAATGCTGATAAGCACAAATGTTGATGTTGGCAAAGAGGTGATCTAATTGCATTTTAATAAGTGACACTTATGGGTTATGAAATATCTGCAGAAAATCTCAGAGAAATAACTGAAGCAGACATTTTTCAGTTCTGGTGATCTGTAAACATAAGATCCAATACTCCATGGTTTATGCAAAAATAAATTTGTGCTTCTTTGTATAATACAGATCTAACGATGAGCTGACTTTGAAGTTATACAACATATACTTTTGATACATAGTTGTACAGACTGAGAGATTTTTATTCTGAATTTAAAACTTCTAGTAGCTTTAGATTTCTTCCTGTGCTTGTCCCTGTCTAATTCATGTTGTTTCTTTGCCCCATAGAGACTAATTCCTCATTAAAGACGATACAACTCTGCAAATATTCACATATGACTAGTTCCTCAGAGGCGATGAAATAAGAAGGTAAATGAAAAAAAAAATCTTTATCAAGCTAAGTAACAGCCAGACTTAACTTAAGAATTGGAAATGATTTTTTGGGAACTTGCTGCTCTGAGCTGTTGACAGTCTGGATGCACCAGCTCCTTGCTCACTGCCAGTAATGGCAGCAGAAATTTAAGAATAATTGACATGAAATGAAGAAAGTTCCCAACCATTCACAAGGAAAAAAAAGCAAAATCACGTATACCTTTTCCATCTGAATTATTTCGGACTCCGGACTCATTTATTTTCCATTTTATTTCATGGTAACATGAATTCTCCTTGCTTCCTCTCCTTACAATTTATAGTGTGTCCTAAATTATATCCTTTTTTCAATGACTCTGGACAAATCTTATAGATTTGGATGAGAAACAAATACAATTATTGTTGAATTCAGTCTGTGGGAGCATATGATGTTTTATAATACACACTTAATAGATGACACAAACAGTCTTTTTTCAGTGCTAATTTAGCTGACCACAGCTAGATGGTCAGAATGGCATTGTCTCTCACAATTTTCAGGAACTCTGGGATCTATTCCTTATTTTCTAAGGGATGAAGACTGTAATAAAGCAATAGGTTTGGAATACTGTCCTATGTGCATTAAATTTGTTCAAGGGAAATATAGAGCTATGGAAAAGCTTTTATGTAAGCCCTGAATTTAGTTTGTGTTCGCAGCCATTCCTAGTTTCTGGGATACACTTAAAAACAGTATATATCTTCACCTTTCTGTTGTTTTAAGAAATACTTCTGTCCAATTGTCTATACATAACACGGAAAGAATGCATTTCCCTCACAGTCACGGCAGCAGGGAGTCATTTAATGGCTGTTCCAGCTAGGGTGTGCAATATTATTTTGGAAATGTAAAAGTTCATTTGGTTTTGTGCAATTTTGTTGATACTGAAGGAAAATGCCCTTTCTGAGACAGATTATGTCGCCTTTGTGTACCCCTGTTAATGTCCCCTCAGTCTTCCTTTGGTGTACTTTCACTGTATTACCCTAATCTGGAATCTTTCATCTTGCTCCTGGCACTGCTGAGAAATGAAAATATTCAAAATTGATGTGGCAGCTTAATTACCTGCATGTTGTTTGGATATCAGGATATATCCCATAGGCCTGTCTGAACACTGAGGATAATATAGGAAAGAAAATGTAGGTGTGTGGAGTGCACATCTGGGGAATTCTGGAGTAGTAAGTAATGCTATTTGCCACTGCTTGCTGTAACTCATCACTGTAATACCATTCAAAGAGATGTTATTTATGTTTAAACCTTGCTAATAATATAAATGAGGTTGCTGTTCTACCCAAGAAAAGAATGCAATTTATCCATAACTGTTCTGAAGCTTTTCTTCTTCACAAACTGAAATTCTTAATAATTCTGAAATATTTTTTTATGCTTTTCCCTAAGCTCTTTAAAATTCATCCATTCCTACTCGATGGTCAGATCCATAGAATGGTGTATAACTGAAACTGTAGCTGGGTGTTCACAACTGAACCAGTTTACACCTTTTCAAAAAATATAGATATTTACAATCTTTTGTTGGCTTGTGAATCATTGCTCCTGGTACACTTCTGAGAAACTTAACATAAGCTTCTTATTTCATACATATATCACTGTAAATCAGTCTATGCTTATCTGTAGACAAAACCATGGGTTTAATTATGTTTTCAGATTTTTTCAGTTACTGTGTTTAAGATATGTAGGGCTGAGGAAATAGGCTCTGTTTTCACATACGTTAAAACTTTACCAATGTGAGGAAAAATGAAGGACAAAGGCAGTACAAAAATTTTGTGAAATGAAATGTAACAATGGAAAAGATAATTTATTTGAATGTCACCAGATAGCAAGATAAAAAACAAAGTGAAAGCAAGGACTTGTATTTCATTATCTAATGATTTCACCAAGGTCAGAATGGTAGAGGAACAATAAAGATTTAAGTAAATCATATAATTTATTTATTTATGTTCTTGGCACACGTTGCAAAATATACCTCCTATGCTGTCCAATTGATGTGGCAGATCTACACTGGGAACTCATGCTCCTGTTGAGCAGAAAGTGAGCTCATGCAGAGGTTGCAGGGCAGAGGTACAGCAAAATAGCTTAGATGCTGTTCCTGCTGCTGATTTGCTTCAAAAATGATGTAGAAGAAAGCAACTGTCTATCAAAGCCAGTGGAGAACTATGTGGTTTTAAAGAACTCTAAACACAAATTTAAAAAAATTAGTATTCTGTATTTTGAGTGGCTGTTTTGTGTTTCTTTGGCTCACATGCCCTTATGCTGCTTACTGAGACTGTAAATGAGAAGAACAGGGAATGACCAGCAGCTGAAGTTAAGAATTAACAAAAGGTCACAATAATAATGTTTACTGCCATCTCTAAGAGATTCTGGCTCCCCTTTCTTGTGGCAGAGAGAAAAACAAATGTAGAGCCTTTTCTTGCTCTCATTTGTTTGACATGAGCAACACAAGTTTATTTTGTGCTCACCATCCTAACATGTACTGTTGGCAGCTCTTTTCTTTAAAAGAAAAAATTCATCTGCCTGTCCTTCAAACTACTAAACTGCAAAGTAAAGGCAAGTCAGACATGGGAAACTGCTTAGATTTAAATATATTCCTGAAGGAAAAGCTGAAGAAATCCAAGACTAGGAAGGTGACTAAAGGAGAATAGCACTTAGTTGAGTACTCATATGGTTCCCACAGATGATTAAAAAGCAGATGGCTTTGTGAGCTAACAGCCTGGGTCCTCTGGGTGTGTGCTATTAAGCAAAAGTGTCCTGGGAAAGGAAAAGGAAACTGAAGCCTCTTTTCCCTGGACTGCAAGTGCCTGCCACTGAGCCAAGTTTGATTTTATTCAATCTGAGTATTGGCTCGGATTTCTGAAAAGAAGTTTTGGAAGCCTGCCTCGTTCATCAAAAATAATGTATGGTGCCACCACAGAGGCAAGAGGGATTCTCATTATTGTTTCTTGCATTTTATGATGTTGGCACTCTTCCTGAAATGATTTAAGAATTGCGGACAATAATATTTTGGATTTTATAAAAATAGATCTCATCAATGAAATCTGTGTTTTATGTAGGTTTTTGTAATGTGCTTCTTCTTCAGTAAATACATCTTTTTCTGGAAACTAAATCCTTCCTCTGGACAAACATCACTACGTCAAGCAATTCTGTACAAAAGTGAAGTATAGCAATTAGCAAGAAATTAATAAAATAGTGTGAATGCTCTTATAAATTTCTATGGACTATTGCAGATAAGGTCCTCCCTCAGCCTCTTTTTCTCCAGGCTAAACACTCCCAGCTCCCTCACCTGCTCCTCACCAGACCCTTCACCGACTCCATTGCCCTTCTCTGGACTCGCTCCAGCACCTCAGTGTCTTTCTCGGAGCGAGGGACCCAAAACTGGACACGGGATTTGAGGTGTGGCCTCACCAGTGCCGAGTGCAGAGGGACAATCACTGCCCTGGTCCTATGGCCACACTATTGCTGATCCAAGCCAGGATGTCATTGGCCTTGTTGGCCACCTGGGCACACACTGGCTCATGTTCAGCTGCTGTCAACCAGCACCCCCAGGTCCTTTTCCAGCATGTAGCTTCATCCCTAGATACATGGCTGCTTAGGGGAGAGGGAGCCTGACAAATGCAGCTTTACAAGTGTTTCCTTTTCTGGTTCTACAAATGTGTCTCATACTAAGAAACTTAGAAAGAAAAAAACCCTCTGCATACTTTGCACCTGCGAATTGTCTGAGAGTAAAGCTATTTAACCTAATTACAACAGGCGTGAGTATGTTAATTACAAATGGTCACCAGCTGAAAACAAACCATGGAAAACAGCAATAAGGCAAGCTTTAAGTGCTTTAAACTTAAGTGGTAAAATTCTTTAGAATTTGTTATACCCTGACTGAGAATGTTAGCATTTTTGAAAATTGAACTGAAACTGGAATTTTGGGAGATCAGGGAGTAAGATGCTGAAGATTACTGAATCAGAGATTCAGTGATGGTTCCTGAGGTGATAAAAGGGAGAAATGTTTTCATTCTCTGTGTCATTTAAGAAAATATGAATGACTCTGTTGTGCCAGACTGCAAGTTCATGGACATGTGCATCTGTGACCAAAACTGAAGGCTGTAAGAATAAGCAGAGGCTGCAGTAAAACCTTCTCTGATTCCTCTCCCAGCCTTCAGTAATTTGCATGATTTATATAATTTCAGTAATTTACAGTGGCTTTCCATTTAATGATTGTGTTCAATCTCATGTAAACCTTGTTCTGGACCTTTAATATGCAACATGATTACTAAAATTAACGGCCTGTTAATTAGCAACTTGTTAATGGCTCAGGCCATTGTCTGAGGCTACTGGTGTAAATGAAAAAGATTACATTGACATTTGGTACTGTGCCCACTTACTTCAACAGAGAACTTTCCTTGGTGTTCTTAAAAAAGATTCAGCAGAAACAAGGATCACTCAAAATACTTATTTTGAGATGAGGAGACCACTTCTGACATGAAAATTATATGATCTCTCCATAAATCACACAATACAGACCTTATATGTTGAAAAGTCTGATGGATTTGCTTTCATGATTAACAGTAGAGAATGTAAAACCAAATAAACTTCATAAATTCCTCAAAGAGAAATTAAAAAGAGTCATGGAATTGTTGCAAACATTTTTTTTTTTTTTTAGACCCATGGAGTTGTAGTCTATTTTTAAGTACTGCTTTTATTGAGAATGCCAATATGTTTTAAGTAACTCCCTGGAAGTCTTCAGTTCATCTATCACTAACAGTGGTCCTGGTTTCCTTTCTGGGTGAGGCAGTTTGCCATTCTGACATCTGTAATAGTGCCAGAGACAAGGTGGTGCTCTGAAAGTATTTGTCTCTCTTGAACTAAATAATGGTGGGGACAATTTGGAATTTCTCAACAGTAGTATTATTTAGTGTATAATGTTACCCAGAAGGAAGCCCGGGCAGGCATTTGTGGGTTCCTTCAGTTCAAGGATTTATCATTCAGCCTCTGTCTCACCCTGTGTGTGTTATGAGTACACCACTCCATTGCCTTTTCTTTGTTATTGTTAATGTTAGAGAACAGACTCCTGGAAAGAGAAGCTAGAAACAACTAAGTCTTGTTAAAAAATAGCTCTTTGGGCAATCAGACCACAAAATTAAAGGAAAGAAGAAAGGAGGGAAAAAGTAGAAAACTCATATTCAGGGCCAATAATCTGATCAGTGTGTGAAATGGAAATGAAAGCTGGAATTTTAACTGAAGTTCTATTTTTGTTTTCTGTTTTCCTGCCTACAGTTTTCATCTTTGTCATCAAAACATCAAACATGCTCCACTTCAGTCACTCTGTAACTGTGGTAGCCAAGGAAGGGTGTGTTTTTAACAAAAAATAGCAAACATTGTTTTTGATATGTTGCTGGAGCTGGAATAATTCATTAAAGAGTGGACCTGTTGGCCTCAAACTGTAAGTACTATGTGTGATTTGGTCACCCTTTTATTCTATACCCCATGAAGGTCAACAGTAATGAATCATTTATCTCTGAAAACATATAAAGGACACAGACTTCAGAATATAGGTGACAGTACAAGCGCAGTTCATAATCATAGCATAAAAACCCCCATAATAAAGAGGTTCTAACAGATTGTAGCGTAGCTGATGAAATATCGATAGTTATTTGCAAGAAACCTTTTAGTACCCAGGTTTACTCAGTATTCAGAACCTTATTGATTGTAGAAGTTAGGTCAGTTGTAGTAGCCGCAAATTCTTGTGAATTTTAGATTTTGAATTAGATTTTATCCTAAATGGACTAGCAGTAATTATTTTCTACTGCAGTTGGGTAAATTCATGTCTTCTCCAGTCCAATAATTCAAAATGTCATAATCTCTCTACCATCATTCCTGAGTTAGTTTTGCGAGCTGAATTATTCTAATGTAGTAGAAGATAACTCCCCTGGACTGAAGAAATACACTGGAGTGTGAGAATGTCCCTATCAATTTATAAATTTACTGTGCAGGGTTATAATCTGTATTTTGGATTTTCCAGATTTTTCTGTTCTCTGTAGTACTTTCTCCTGGGACTGCCCTTCATCAGGAATTCCATTTTTTTTCATGTTCAGAGCAATAATAAATGTTTCAGTAGGACTAGATAAGCTGGAGGGATTTGTCTGGAGCCAGATTTGATGACAAAACTCTAGATAACACAGTTTTCATCAATTTTTTCTTTGCTAGGACATATAAGTAAATAGATAAAAACAGATTTTCTGGACCTCTTCATAAGAAAAGCTAAATAAAATTAAGAAGTTGTAATTCTGAGGATGCTTTGTATTTTCTTCTCTACCACTTTCAAGATGTTGATGTCAAATTTTCTTAACTGTCTACAGCCAAATTCTGTGTTAATGTTAAGATTTTTTTAGGAGTGTATGCAAATATATTATGAGCCCTGTGACTGTCAGATGTTATGTAAAAACATGGAAGTAACTTAGTTTAAATCTCATTTTCTGAAGTGACCTTAGCAATGACCTTACAAAGCCATCTGTGATAGTGTGTCTCACTTTCATAAGGTCCAGAACAGTCAGCACTGTGGTGTGGAGCTCTGTTAAATCCCCTCCTTGGTGTCTATGTCAGTGAAGTGGGTCAAGGGGTGACAGAAGGAAATATTCTGCAAATATTCAGGATGAAAAAGTCTTGGTGTGCAGTTGTTTCTGGTGTTCACCTCACAGTGCACTGCAGGGAAAAATCCTATCGTACATATGGTTCAGCAGTTGGAGTAGGGAGCTGATTATACTTGCCCAGGATGCTGGGATTTAGATGAAGTTCTGCCATGTGGAAACAGATCTTCACAGGAAACACCTGATGCTCCTGAAACATATTTAGAACAGCGTTTGTGCCAACTAAAGTCAGCTGCCATTTTGAGTTCACACTGGGCAAAAGTGTTTATCCTGACTTAAACCATTTGACTGATTGATTTCACAAATCCTTCTACTGTTTCTTTGCATTTCATTTTGTTTCTTTGCCTCTCCTGAACAGTCATAGGTTTCCCTGCCTATGAAATTCCAATATTAATTTTAATGAAATGAGCATAAAGCATAACATCACTTTTAATAGGTGGATCTCAAAAATTACATACCTAGCTATTTTTAACTGACATGTGCTTTTCACATTAACTTAGATTTCTAAGCAAGATGGCAAATTCTAATCAGTAGTCAGTTTTATTCTGTTTGATTCCTGAGGAAGGGACTTCGCTGTGTAAAAACTTCTATGAGCTGTTATACAAACAAGCTACATGACATGTTTACAATGTGCCATTATTGCCTGATAACTTCTTGTATTTCATATTTGTCAAGATTCCTGCCTTCATATTCACTTGGCAGTCTGTGTTACCATTCCAGTGCTTAAAGAAAACTCTTCCATTTCTACCCTAGAGCCTTAATTATATTTAGGCCTTGAGCCAGAGATAAGCCTGTGCTAGTAAAGTGTTTGTGTGTATCTTGGAAACATAATCAGAATGGTGTTAGCTTGGTTCATGTATTACATACGATGCAGGCAAACCCAGCAACTTTCTTCCCCAGAGCAAGTGATTATCTTTATCTGATCCATTCTCCAAAGAATGGCCAGATCCAAGAACTATTTGATAACCAGTGAAAGGGATTTTTTTTAAGTTACAAGTCCAAGTTTCCAGTCCAACAAAAGATGTTTAATGTGTATAACTAAAATCAATGGGATAATTCCATCATTGCAAACAGGTGTTTGCTGGACTGAGGCTCAAAAACTTCAGTATTTTGAAAGGTGTGGATTTCCCCTGACTTGTATGAATTACGTGGGAAAAAAGATTAATATCTAAGTTTTAATGGCCATATTACCTTGGTCATCATGTGCAGATGTACTTGGATATTTTGATTGTTCTTGATGGCAGCATAGCAATATATTAGTATGTAATTTGTGAAAAAAGGGAAATTTCACTTCGTGGAAAAAAAAGCTTTCAATTTGTTTTTGTTGGAAAAAAATACTTCAGTGTCTATGGAGGCTGTAGTGAATTACACTATGGTTACAAATGTCACTTGCAGAGAGTTTCTTCTCGAGCACCTATAGAAAGGGCGGGACTGTGTATGGACAGTTCTTGCCAAATGCTGCTTTTCCATCTAGGCTGGAATAAGACTGATGGATGGGCACAGTAAAGTGAAGAGAAGGCTGTTTTAGCCTGTGCACTCACCAAGTTTTCTGTCCATCAGATCAGACAGAGCAAGAAGGTTCAGACGAATGTTGTCTCACCATCACCGAGTGTAAGGTGGCACGTGAGAGAAAAAGATGGATTGCAATCGTAAAGCCTGCTCTTGTTTTTGGATGTTAAATGGTGGGGAGATGGGAGAGGGAGGAGAATGGAAGGCAGAGGAATTTTGGTTTAATTTTACCAAAAATAGATTAAAATGTAGGCTTCTTTGTCTGAAGCATTTTCCATCAGTGTAGATGGAAGGCACAGGGCTGGATGTGTGTCACAGCCTTCAGCCAGGAACGATGTGAAGTATCTATTTGCATATTAACTAAATCTTGTAGGGTAAGAGAAGCCTGGTGATCTAACTTAAGTACACATATAAGTGTTTGGAAAATATGTGAGTTTTCCCTTTTTCTGTTTCCCAACTAATGCGATGATTGTGACGTGTTCTTAAAATTTTCAAATAAAATTTTTTTTTTGGCTTTTAGCTTGCCCAGATCAGTGTTAAGAGTGATTTCAGAACAGCTGATTGGCCCTGAAGTGTTCCATTCTGTGGAGCAGTGATTTCAAATGTGGTATGACTGCATTTTCTTGAGATGACTGGCCTTCATCTGTCTCTTCCTCGGGACAACCAGAAGGTAAGAAAGGCTGTCTCCACACAGCTGCCCAACTGACACATGAAACTGAGAGTTTAGGGGTTGATAAAGAAGAAAATATCTTTCACTGTGTGCCAGGAAAGCTTTTTGTGGCTCTTAAGATATATATGGAAGTACCTGGTCAGACTCAGGGTTGTAGAATAATGTTTAATATAGGGTGTTCACTGAACCCAGGGAACATTCCTCCAATGTGCCTTACAAGATGGTTTTTGTATTTCCTGCTTCCTCTGAAGGGCTTTTCAAGGAAAAGGAGTAATTTAACACAAAGGAAAGCTGTGATGAGAGAATTACTAGAGGAAAAAAGATGGATTCAGTAATGTTTTGATTAAAATCATAAAATTAATTCCTAATATATTTTCCAGTGCTGAATTTTAAACCCAGTTACGATTTTTCTGGCAGAACAGCAGTTTCTTGGAAAAAAATGTTGATTTTACAGACATGTATTTTATGTCACTCCATCAATATTTGAATGGAGACTGGACAGGTGAGCCAGCTGGCATGAAACAAGGACATCAAACTGGTTTGCTGAGAGGCTCTGTGGTTATCCAGAAGTCATTCCCTAGCTGGCAGCTGTGCAGGCTGGCCGGGGCTGCAAGTTGTCTTGTGTGATGGCTGCCTGGCTGGCAGGGGTCTGTGGCTGCCCAGGTGCACAGCAATGAGACTTACCAAGGGGTAATTCTCTGTACCTCAAATTTTCTTTGTCTGAGGGATTGTTTTGGTTGTGAATCCAGCACAGGTACGTGCTGAAAATGTAGTAAAATGAAATGGTTTTTTAAAAGCTGATAGGTGAAAGCCAAGTAAAGGTATATGAATAGCATAAAAAAAATAACTCGTTTCTTCAATTAGAAATACCTTCTGTGGGTATGGTGAATTTTGCTTATTCTGGCAGTGTGCTTTTCTGGTGTCATTAGACTTTTTGTGGCTAAGACCACAATATATTTAAAGGAAGTGGAGTTACTAAAAAAGACATTACACAAATTATATGACCAGTACCACTGAAACCAATACACTGAGTCATAATCTTACAACAGCTGTATATACATATATATATGTGTGTGTGTGTGTGTATATACTAATGCTTCCTTGTGTTAGATTTAGGGAGTTCAAATTATATAACGGGTGTAAGTGATACAGGAAAAAAAAAGATCCTAAGCCTTGTAATCATATAGGATGCATAGGGAATTCTTTGACAAAGAAACACAATACTTATGCTGCTCTTTTAATTGTTTTGTTTCATTTCATCTAACTAAAGAAATTCACATGGTTTGTAGTGAACATTTTTAAAAGATAAAACTAGAATTCTTTCAATACTGGCTAAAATTTCCTAATGTTGCATAAAAAATATGTGTTAAAATTGATTCTGCTTTGTTAAATCTTTGAAATTGAATATATATGCATGTCTCCATCTTCAAGTGAAGATATATATGTAGATGTATATATGCTTTGTCTCTGGAACAGCTTTCAAAGGAAATTGTGCCTGTTCTTGTTTAAATGTACAAACTGAATTCTCTTTCCTTTTAATTTTGAAGAAATTAGTGCTGCTCCAGTAGTCATAGAAACTGCAAATAAGAACTGCATGTTGAATATAACCATCAGTAGAAATTCTGAATATTGAATACAGTTTTCTTGAGCTTCTGCCTACACAGGAAGCTAAAAAACCTTTCAGAAGGAAACTTAATTAGCAATCTATCAAATACAGCAGCAGCAATTTGATTGGTACTTAAGGCTTAATGGTAGCAATTGTTAGGACTTAAGTAACAGACTACTCTGCATTTGCTGTCCACCCTCTATCAAACAAGGGCTGAAATATTCTGTCTGACATTAACAAAAATCCCTCTGATGTGTAACACTACCATTTATGCCTTACAGACCACAGGAAGATAAAAGTTGCAGGTATTCTACAGTTAGATGAAAACTTTTGTTATGAACATATGGCCTTATCTTAATATCTGAAGTATAAAAGGCTCTACATTAAGTATCTGCACAGACTCCAAAAATGTACTAGCTGTCTGTAAAATATGTAAACAGGAATATTATCAGTTCTGTACTTCTCAATAATGCAACTACCGACACTGAAGTAATTGGATATGGAATTAGTAATCATATGATTGTGTGGAATTATCTGATCTGATTTGCATGCTTGACTGAGAAGAATTATGCATGTGAATCAAGCTTGGTAAATAATTCATACCTTACCCTATAGCTCACTAATTTAACATCATTTTTCTTTGCCTGCACTTGGTAGGAGTGCAGTATTCTCCTGAAATCAACAGTCTTTCAATAATAATTACCAATATCTAGGATTAAGTTCTGGTTTGCAAACTTTTCAGTGTAGAGTAACTATTACTCATTCGATATCTGAAAAGCATTGGTTAATTCTAATTGGTCAAACAAACCTCCTTCTTTTCCTGTTTTTCTCACCTGGTTAAACTAATGCTTGAGTGGAGAGTACTGCTGCTTTAAAACCAGGTTTTATGCATATATTTAATATGCTCCCCTTGCCTCTAAATCACAGCCTTTGATGTCCTGGAGTCAAAATAATTGTTAGTAGGGAGGGGAACTAAAGATCAGCAGCTTGGTTATTTGCCATAACAAATACCTACAGTGAAAATTAGTACTGGAAAAAGGTTTTCATGGGTTTAACAGTAGAATTTGGCTTCAGGTAAATAATTAGATACCAGTGGGGTTCACAGTATCTTAGGGCACCTATGGCTGTAGATTGGGCAATTACTGGCATCTAATGATATTGCAGAAACCACAGTGAATTTATTAATAGGGTACAGATTTGAGTAATGGGGCTTGCCAATGGAAGAGAAATCTGGATGAGACAGTTCACTTGCAAAGTGAAGGAAAGTTTGTGAATGACCCTTCTGTGTTTATTTGCTATTCCCTTCAGAATCTTGGGGCAGAACTAGAAGAATGCTAAATATTGTAAAGGATTATATTTCTGTTCCTGAAGGCTTGAAATGTAAAACTCAGACAGCCTTTTGAGAGCCTCTGTGCAGTATGGAGTCCTTAAACTTTTGAAAGCAGTTGCAGGAATTTGGATTACTATCTGGAACACTGGCAACACTTAATAACCAGAAAATGTCAAAAGAGAATTTGGTGGTAGGCAAGTAGTAGTATGTAGCATGACTTTAGTTTCTCCTTTACTTTGATAGTCCATGAAAGGAACACTGTATAATCTTTCCATCTTGTAATTCTGTATTTATTTATTTCAGAGGCTGTTTAACTAGAGGAAATGTGTTCCTGACAGTGTTTCTAAACAGTAATTTTTTTTATAGACTCAACTCTCCTCATGGATTAAATCTCTTACTATCACAAACCAGGCTAATTCTGTACCAAGAAGGTACTGTGTCAAACATACCTGAATTTCCCAGTGTAAATGCAGCCAGGAGTCAGCTGCTTCTCATGGCTTGCAATTCGTCAACATGGTTAAATTAGGGGTTGACTCCTCTTTATGCTGGTCTGAGGGTAGAGTTCAGTCTGTGTAGCTGGAAGTATGAAAAATGCCAAACTTTTTTTGACAAAAGCCATCTCTAGTGCTGAGGTATCTGCATTCCTGCCTGGTAAAAAGGGATGCACAGAGCTGGGTGTCCTTAAGAGGGCTCAAATGGGATAAATATGTAGTATTTTGAGTCCGAAATAGGTTGGGATATGCCAGAAAGGATATGTATCTCCACAAGCCATAGGATTTTTAAAGAGAGCTGATATAGTGGAAATAATTTTCCTAATTCACAATGAAAAAGAAAAACGTTAAATGTTATTGGCATAGAATTTCTCTGGCAAGAGAGGGCTGCTGTCTCTAGTGGGAGAGATATTTCAAGGGAAATCAACATTCAAACAAAATCAACATTCTCTTAGTAAAATGCTTTATAGGGGAATAAGCAAAAATTATTAAAAAATGAGAAAAAAATATTAGCAACTTTTGAAATAACTTTCTACTCTCAAAGAAGAGGGAAAGAAATTATCCCATTAAAATCTTCAATTTTGCTGTTGCAGTTCAAAGAGTGAAGAGACCAAAGAGCTTTTTACTGTGTATCAAAGGACTGACAGCTTGGTGTTCAAACAGAGCTTTAAGTTCTGATCTCAGATTAATAAACATGCAAATACTCAGTCTTAAAAAAAAAACTTGTAAGAATCCAATCTTTATCTTATGTAATTGAATTGCTTGTTTGAAGTGACTGGTGTATTTCAACTCAGTAAGTTGTCACATTGTAAAAGTTGTCAAATTCAGGCAAATACAGGCTGTTGTAACTGGAAGATATTGCAGCAAACTCCAAGGTACATACCCACACTCTTTGAGACAGCCAACTATGCTGACTATCAGGTGAAAAAAAGTAGGTCATAAAGATGCAAAGTGCCAGTTATAATTATTTATGGCATACAAAATTTTTGAAACAGTGGGTGCCCAGAGCTGTGGCCTCACATGTTTCTCTTCTCAAGTACTGCAGGTCACTACTTTATGTAGTGTACGAGGAAAAAAATGGGACTTAGTGCAGCATATGGAAAGCCATTTACAGTTCTAGAGCACTAGCAAATGCTAAGTCACATCAGTTCTTTGTGATGTTAAATATTTGTTCATTATGATCTCGATTTTTGCAGGTAGGAAGGTTCAGTCACTTTCCAGAGAGAAAAAGGGAGAACGACTTGGCCAAAATCACAGTGAGGGTGAGATTAGTGGGCAGTAGCACAGACAGCCACTTTTCAACACACTCGCTCTAGGATGATGCTCAGAGCTATGTAAAATTGGGATGTCTTTTACACTATGAAAATCTTATTCGTAATAACATAGGAATTTAATTTGCATTTTACATTTACTTCAAAATAAAGTATCTGATGCAAGTCATCCAGAACTAAATGTTTTTTTTCTTTTGCTTTTGAGTACAAATAGTTCTATTTGTGAAGAAAATGTCATGTATATTGAAAATATCTCCAAGCATTTTGTTGTCATAGCTGTTTAGCTTAAAAATAGGCATTTCGTTAACAGATTTTATCAACTCTCCAGGCTGCAGTCAGGAGGTTCAGCAGAATGCAACTGACAGTTACAGGTATTTTTTTTCTTGAGGGAATGTATTTGACCTGTGGGCTTCATTTCAAGGTGCCGTTCCAGAAATTTCTTTCTGTCGTTTGAGTCCTGGTTTTCTCTGAGATTGCACTCTTTCCTGTAACATAGGGGCAGGATGAAGTGTTTAGAGTATGGAGCATTCATAGAGCAAGAAGAATTGTAAAAATATTACAGTGTTAACAATATGGCAGCAAAATGTTTGGTTGGGATTCCCATAGAACAACAGATCTAACTCCTTCTGTTATTTTATGAAGGAGGAATTACTTTCAATCTTCTCAGGTTTTCCAGTATAGCAGACTGGGATCTCTTTCAAGATTCAGAGAGTTTTTATTTAAAATTTTATGGAACCCCCCAATGCTTCTGTGAGTTCTTAATGTAAATTTTATCATTAATACACTTTTTTTGAAATGTTTTTGTTTATGTTGCCTTTTTGTAAAGCCACTTGAGGAACAATATATACATATTGTCAGTGATGGTCTGGCTTGTGTATATTTGAATTTGTATCTTGGGAGGGCAAAGGCTGAAAAATCAATTTGTGGACCTTTTCACTAAAGAAATACTGCAGAGAAATTATTCCACTGCAGTCTACTGCTCATAAAGGGAATCAGCTTAGAGAAATCTTTACAACCAAGGGAATCTTAAACCCAGTGAAGCAGGAGGCTATGAAATCATCCCTAGGTTAGAAAGAGAGGTTTCTAAAATTGGAATTTTAGTTAAACAAGTTTTCTGTAAGTTAGCAGTTGAATAATTTTTCCGAGTTTATGCATTTTGGATGAAGAATATAAAAATTCTCCCTTCCCAGTGACATAAATGCTGATATTGTAGATTCAGGTTTTTTTCCTGTGTTCCCATTTTTCGTTTTTAGAATTCTACTGAGACCTGCTGCTCTTGCTGATCAACACCCAAAACATCTGGGTAATATCAGTTCTGCTGTAAGAGATCTGCAGAACTGATGTTTTGTCCTAAAGTATAGATATCTCTCTAGCATGTTTTATGCTTGAAATGTGTGACATTACCTAAAGCCAGAGGTATGAAAATGACATTAGTATCAAAAGAATACTAGGTGTGGGGTGGGCTGGAGTGGATCAATGCTTGCCGTGGAGATGTGTTGTAGCTGTGTCAGGCCAGATCAGGCCTTTCAGAATAGAGAAGTGATGATCAGCTGAATTAGTTCTTCTCCCTCTGTTTTGCAGAAAGGCAAAACAGTGCTGGAGGGGAACTGTAACAGAAATGGGAGATGCAGAAATATTACGGCTGTGAATTGTCCAGTTCAAATGTACATAGGTAACACTTTTAGCCAAAGTTTGAAGTTCCCTCTTCTACTTTTTCTTCCCCTTCCACTACCATTAAAGCTACGAAGCCCTTCCAGACCTTTTCCAAACACAAACCAGGTTATGTTTAATCTGGGCTGTTTCAATCATGTGATTCACAGTGTGGCTTCAGAACAGCGACCTCGCTGCAGCAAAGAGGAGGGAACTGAAGTACAGTGGGAGGAATGAGAGCGCTGGCAGAGGGATATCAGGAGCTTCTTAACCCGAGCTCTAGACATCGGCCTCAATGTCTCAGGACACCACAGCTGCCATGGTTTGTAAGTCTCTTGATGTGGCAGTAAATCTGTATTGCTTAACACATGTAGGTGAGGTGGAGTGGGGATCATGACCCATATCCTACCCGCTCTCCTGCAGACAGTAATCTCCTGAGAGAAGGGCTTCCTTGCACTGTGTGCTTAGAACAAATGGGGAACTCAGTCTTCCCTGGACCCTGTATGAGAACATTTATCTAAGATGATAAATATTTGGGAAACGTTAAACATAATTTTAATGAACCTGCTTATATGAATATGATGTGGTAGCTTCACAATGCTGGTCTGTTTCTTTTTCTTTTTTTTTCCCCCATGAAGGAAACCTTTCTCTAAACTTCAATTTTATGGGAAAATCTCTCATAACTGCCTAATCACACTTCCCAGCTGATTTCGAATACCATTTTCAACTTCTGTTATTGTCACACCTATTCTTTGAAAATACCATGATTAAATATAAGCTTGTTTCAAGAAATACTGCTTTTGTTGACATCTTTATGCTTTTTTTGGTTTTGCAAAAACATGCACAGATGTTTTAGGAAATATTAAAAGTTCCTTGTTACAAAATATTCGCTCCAGAAATGTATATAAGAAAATCAACACAGCTACCTATGTGCTCCATAGAGAGATCATTTGAGTTCTGTTAGTTTGGGCATAATTTGTTAGAAACAAGGCTGCCTTTCTGCCTGTCTTTCCTTGATCTCCGAGGAGAAAATGATGTATGCAGAGAAGCATTTCCAATTATAAATTATTTCAGGTTTTCAACAGACTAGTTTTTGGCTTGATGTTCTGTCATGATTCAAAAATGAGAGGATTAGGTTAAACAACCCTTTCTTTTAATGGCAGGTAAGCAGATAAGCAGTACAGTAAAGTAAGATTATTGCAACTTAAGTGGGATTTTGGATGTGGCGAAATAATTTTTAACAGTTACTCTGAACTTGAGGCGCAGATCAGAGAAAGAGGGGAAAAATATTAAGATTTTTCTGTTTACTTTATTGTCAGTGGAGAAACTAACCATTCTTTGCCAAAGTTGTAAAAAATTTTTTTCCTCCAGAAACTTGTTCATTTGAAATTGAACACGAATTTTGAATAAATAAACATGCAAATGCCTTATCTTAAACAGAAAACTTGTGAAAATACAATCCTTAGCTTATATAATTGGAAGTTTGTTTGAAATGATTAGTGTATTCCAACCTGCAAGAGGAGTTTTGCTGTGTCAAATTAAACAAGGGATGAAATAATGCAGGACCACTGGCAAATGAAAGCAGAGTGAAATAGCAATGTGACCAGTATGCTTAATTTTCAGCATTTGCTTGTAATCCCGTGGCTTTCCATAAATAGAGCTGATTACAAGTTTGTCACTTACTGTTTTGGACTATGATGAATGTAAGCCCGTACATTCAGTGTGCTGACCTAAATGACAACATAAGAACTGAAATATTCTCTATAGCTGTGGGCATAAGAGACCCCCTGTCTTCTGTTAGTTTGCAGAATTTCTAGAGGCTGTAGGATAAAGCCAAACCTCCACGGATGAGGAGTCTCTTCATGGAGACTGTCTGTTAAGAGACTAAACTTATCAGATTAGACTATTTCCAATATGGTAAAGGAAATGAGAGATTAAGGAGGACTCAAGTGGTGGAAATGATTCCATAACCATGAAAAAATAAGGAAGCAAAATCTGATTGAATCAATGGCAACTCTCACCCCTTGAAAGGTTCCTGTTGTAGAACATTAGTGTACTGCCTGGAGAAGAGGTGCCTCTCAGGCTGAAAATGAACTTGGACTTGAGTTGTAAAGAAGGTGATTCCTTGGCTTGCTCTAGAAGTGATCAGAATGTTTCCTGTGACCTTTTTGCTTGTTTTGCCTGTGACCTGTTAATGAAAAATGTGAATATTTAACATTTAAATCACTTTCTTTTTCTAATGTAATATTAATTGAAAGTTCATATTCGTATTACCCTAACAGTCAGGGACATGCTATGATTCAATGACAGCCAAATCTTTTTTTAATGTGATTTCTGACTTTAAAGTAATAATGGAGGACAAAATTATGATATCTATTTTTCTATAAACACAAAAGAATTTGATTACAAGTGGCAATGATTTGGAACATGTGTTTTTCTGAAAATTGCTTCTTTTGACAAGAAACCTTTCTTGCTCATTCACACGAAGCAATGTCAACAATGCTGCCAT